AGGGGGCCGACATGTGGGTCTGAATCAATAGCTCAGCCAATGGCGGGCGCCGAGGAGGGGTGCACCGAGAGCTGGCGCCGGTCCCGCTGCGCCGGCACGGGGCAGATGCTGTGGCTGAGGACTGGGGACACCTCGGGTTCTGGGAAGCCGGGCTCAGCCTGGAGACGCCTATGGGGTACGCTTGCCTGCCTGCCTGCCGAGTCCCTGCAGCCAACTGACCTCTTGGCCCCAACCCTCCCACCCTGAGGGAACCTGAGCGGGGGAGGCGGAGGCCTCGGGAGTGTGAGCCGCCGGGTCTGGAGTCCCAGTTCTGCTGCCTCCCCTCCAGCCTGTCTCATTAATTTGGGGTGTGATTGCACTGACTCGGGTGCATCTGGGGTGGCATCCCGGATCACAGATTTGGCTACAATGTTAATAAGTAACAAAGACTCCACAACCACTCCCCTAAAATGTGACTTTTGACTTTGGGGCAAAATAATGTCACCCATTTGTCTCTAGATCCACATTTTCTGGCTCCTGTCGACAGGGTGGCGGATCACTCACCCTCCAACAAGCTCACGTGAACACACGTTTGGGTACATGTACAGCACACCCAGAGGCAAACCAAGAAGTAATTATAGAACAAGCTTTCCAGCGCCTCACATAGTCACACCTCCTCCAAGAGCTGTGAAACGGAAAGAAACAGTTACCCCAGCTGTCTCTGACTACCGACTACCTTGCAAAGCAGAAACCAGAAAGGATCGGCATTTCATCTCTGGTCGTAAGGAATGGCAAGGTTAGTAAAGTGACTTAATGCCCAGGAAAATAGGTGCTTACACTCATAAAATCCCAGGCTCCAGCCGCTTACATTCTCATCAGGGAAAGATGTCTTCAATGGTAGGCTAAACTCCCCATCCAAGCAACATTCTGTGGCTGGAAATGACTGTGAAATGTCACCAGCCACGCAGGCTGACACTCCCCCCAACCTTGGGGGTCCCTGAGTGTTCCCGAGCCTTTTATCCTGGGGACATATGACAACAAACACTGTAGCTTTACGTCCACACCCATATTAAAGGTTGAAATGTAAACGTGAAATAAACCAGTACCCTTATCCACACATGTTAGGTAGGCATCTAGTTTGATTTCCCCTTCCACCTTGATTTAATTTACCAGGTATTTAACAGAATTTATGATGCTGACCCAATTTAGACTGAGATGAATCCTCACAGTTTAGGCGTTTGCAGGAATTCAAGGCAGAAATAGAAAGGTAATCTCAAACTGCCTTAGTAGCAAGTTTTCTAGGATGGGCAACATAATTAGCAAGACACACAACCTTAGCAATAAACGTAATAAAAGATTGACTTCCCAGGAGATCACAAGAATGAAATACAGCCATTTGAATAAGGAGCAGGGAAAAATCACTTCCAATATGCACCATGTATTTCTACATGGTTTAAGTCAAACTTGAATTTTGATGTTCTGTAAAATCAAACATAGCAAGACTATAATTACAGGTATCTATGCACTTTTTAACCCCCTTTCCCACCCCACAAAAAAGCCTGTAATTCTATCATGCTTACATGGTGAAATACTTACGTAGTCTAAAATTTTTGTTTGACTGCTTCATACACACACACACACAACTCACATGATGACAAAAGTCGTCAAGGGGAATTTTGCTTTGAATCATTTTAGATTCTGATTTTGATTACCAGAGGCTGTAGCAAGCCTATGATTTTTCTGTCTGAACACAAAGGCTGAATTTGGTATTCTTTTTTTAGGTCTAAATGATTTGTCTGTGTTTTAAAGAACACAGAAAAGAAATAAGAAAGATGGAGAAAAAAAAGGGGGTAGCTCTTCAAATCACAAACTTCCAACAAATTGCCCACCTCCACCACCCCCTGCCTTCAAATGATGACACTGAGAGTGACACTTCTTGGAAATTGACAAGACTAGTAAAAAGGAAGGGAAAGGGGCAGGAGAATTGATATATATTGAAGGCTCGTTTTATTCCAGGCTGTGGACTAGGGATTTAGTATACAAAGATCTCATTTTATCTTCATAACAATCCTATGAGATAGATATAATCATTACTTCCAGTTGCATTATCTATTGCTGCTTAATAAAACTATCCCAAACCTTAAAGGCTCACAATTCTGTGAGCTGACTGTGCTCAGCTGGTCAGTTCTCACTTGGGGTCTCTTATATTTTTGCAGTCAGATGGCAGCTGGGGCTGGAGTCATCTAAAGCCTCATCTGGGCTAGACATCCAAGATGGCTTCTTCACTCACATGTCCGCATTTCAGCTGTAATGGTAGGGACAGCTAGTATTACCCAGCATCTCTCTCTCTACCCAGCCTTTCCATATGGTAGCTCGGGTTTCCTCATAGCATGGCTGTGGCTTCTCAGAGCAAGTATTCTAAGACAGGAAGCAGAAGCTGCCAATCTTTCCAGGCTCCTGCACAAGAATTGGCACAGCATCACTTCTGCTATGTTCTATTGGTGAGTCATAGAGCCTACCAAGTTAAAGAACAAGTGGCAAAGACATAGATCACACCTTTAGCTAAGAACAGTATCAAAGAATGTGTGGCCATCTGTAATTCACTCCATTTTATAAAAGAGAAAACAAAGTCTCAGGTTAAAAATTTCTCCAAGGTCAAATATCATATGAGGGACAGAGCCAAAATCTGGGTGGGGGAAAATGAATAACATAGAAAATAGCCAGAATGTTCACAATGAGATGTTCTCCTTTGATGCAGTGTTACAGAGTGGTTTGAACTGCTCACTCGCTCTCTCTCTTTTCCAACCTCCCTTTTTTTTT